AATGCAATTTTATGGATATGTGTGCAAATTGGCTTTCAAAGGCCACGATGAATAAACCATTTTGCTAACAAACTGTATTATAGCATATGCATCCCATTGCAAAAAACGAGCATGCAGCCTTAAGTTTTATTATGAAAGGTAAAAACAGACATAAAATTAGTAAATTCTTTGCTGTTTGGACACAATTAGTGGTTTTCTGAGAGCAGTTAACTATCTGGTATGTTTTTATAATAGCTAGTAGCCAACTACAAATACAAGTTGCTCTTTCAATTTTCTATGAATAAATACATTTAGCATATTATTTCCTCAGTTGTTTTGAAAGTAATCAAGACACACAGACACATTGTAGGTATAAGAATATAATGTTACTCTGTACTGTACAACACATATGAAGTTTACTCCCATATTAACAGTTAATTTTGCTGTATTTTAATTTGACATTTAAAGAAATAACACTGATTTCGACCACATCACAAGAAAATACATTTACCAAATCACATTTTTTATCTTGAGTTTTTAGGCCTGTCCTGGTCTCCTGTTTCCTAATAATGTTTATTAGTGTTTTTTAGATTTGTGAGACCATAAATGTCCATGCCATGAATGAAAATAATCAAATCCCCATGTAAGAATCATCTTTGCGGCTGGTCCAGTGAGTGGAAATCCCTGCTTTATTGACAGAGCACTGGCAGTCCAACACTAGTTTGTGTTGTTTTCATTGTGTGCATTTCATAGTGCAACTTTCATCCTCTCAGAATCAGGCACATAAGGAGGCTCATTTGCGGCTGTAGCCTGGATAAGGTGGAGGTGGAGAGTAGTTTGCCACTCTGGGTAGAGTTGGTGTGTATGGAGGCGGCCGTAGATCAGGAGGATACATCTCATAATCATAGCTATAAGGAGGTGGAGGACCTGAGAAGAATAAGACAGAACTTATATGATCTTATAGTATTATGCACATTTTGATTTAGAAATAAACTTACGTTTTTTTTTTTGCATGTTTAATTGTTCAAAATATGTAAACTTTAAATAATAAGTGATATAGACGATACAATATGTCAGCTTTTTTGTTTTAATGTTGGTAAAGGGTTTGTAATTTCAGAAAAAATAAGGTTGAAAGGTTGTTTCTGCAAGTTTTATGAAGGTAAAGACCTTTTTAAGACCAGGTAAAGAACATTTAAGGAATAAATTGTCACGGTTTCTTAGTTTGGGCTCTGCGTTTCATCACCCTTTGCCTTTGATTGTTTGTTGTCACTGACACTCATTATGTTCAGCTGTGCACTCATGAATCACTTCATTATCACCTGTATTTAAGTTCTCTCTTTTTCAGTTAATTTTGTCCGGTCTCGTCAACTCTACCCTGTGTTTGTGGATTACCCGTGTGTTGGATTAAAGACTTTCTAAACCTTCATCT